CCCATATCTGACAAACTTTCTTCATCATCTCTTTTTCCGTGATGGTTTAAGCTTCTGTCAGCGTTACGCTCAACCAATTCTGATCTTTTTTTCGCAATTTTTATCAGCTGAACATCAGTCTAAAGTTCCATCTGGCAGTATCTGTTCGGTAGGAGTTCCTTTTAAAAAAAAGTTATTCAGATCAATCTCCTGCTAGAAAGGAAAAGCTTTCCGCGTGTGTTGTTTTGAGTCAAAAAGAGTCTTTTGTGGCTACCTCATTATGCAGGAAATTGAATGTCATGCAAATTTTTGATATCTTATCTCCGGTTAAATTAAATTTTAAGAACCCTTTGTACCTGTTTAAAACAAATGTGACAAAATAATCAATTAATATGGAAAGACGCTCTTTCTTTTCGTTCTTCACTACTCTTTCAAGAGAATAAAGTGAGATAAAAAGTTATCATAAAGTCAAGCTCGAGATAGTAACTTCTTGGCATCAATTACAACAGGTACTGCTAATGTCACTCTTGGCCGACTTTTCACTATTGTGAGTTTTTGTTTACTTAGCGATGTACGAAAAAATGTCGGTCTTTTTGCAGCGTTAACAGAACACGAGCTGACACGGAAGAAATGTGGTTTTACTTTAATCAAGTTTCTCATTTTCAAATGATCCCCACAGCTCAAATGATTGTGTTGGCTTATCTTTCTGTGTGATTAATTTGCCTTTCGATCCTGGTCTCTCGTAAGGTAATTAGATATTATTTCTAATTTTTTTTCTTTGGATACATCAGTATGGAATTCCGAGGTAAGCCGAGCAGAGCCCTTGAGCAGTACCACTACGATCTGCGACAAAAAAATGGTTGAATGATAAAAACTATCTCAAGGTCATTTCGCTTCAAAACCCACCGATTTGTTTTTGTGCGTTTTTGCTGGCTAGTTTTGTCATGTAATGCAAAATTAAAAGGACGGTTTTCAAGCAATAACCTCCGTCAGCGTCGATATTTATCTTCTCTGGAAAAGTAAATAGGCCAGTGGAAAAGAGCCAACTGTAAGAGTTTCACCTTTTTATATGCAAGAAAAACAAAATCGAGTTTTAGAACCCAGCGACTGCGTTCTTAAAAAAACCTGATTTCAATTTCTACTTAGGACCATAAAAATGGTCAAAAAGAGTATTTTATCGCTGCACAATGTGAAAAAAAAAAATGAGAGGGTGGGTAATGTCCACATTTGCTCTCCAAGCTTTGCTTTTTGGCCAAATTCTCCTTTTTCGGACGATCTCTTAGCATCGGAAATCATCAGCTGGCATACCAGGCGCCTGAGGTGGTTTATTTACTGCGCTGACTGTAATGACTTATATACTTTTATACTTATACTTTATTTACGCACGCTACATCTAGGAGTGGTAAAAACTCCATGATAGGTCAGAAAATGCCTTAGAAAAGTTTTCTACAACGGCAACGGGAGGTACTTACAGTGCACGCATTTTCCGTCCTATCATGTTAAAACAAATGATGTGCGTGAAACGAAAAACATTTAAAAAACAAAAACAAAAATCTATTAAATCTATCTGAAAAACCTGCCTGACTAAGTATAACTATCTAGAAAACCTGCCTGACTAAGTATTAAAACAAAAGAAAAAGAAAATATAACAGAACAAAACAAAAGCATAAAAAAAACAACCAAAAATAAAAATAGAAAAAAACAAAAAAGCAAAGAAAAAAACAAAGCAAAAAAAACAAAAAAAAGGGTCACAAACAGGGTAATTGGACTGCTAGGCATCTTCTAATCTTCCCCTCGCTACCGATTTATCGTAAGGACAAAGCACGATATTCGACAATCTTCATTTATAATGGTAATTGAACTGAGTGGAATGCAAATTGGGCTGAAATCATACGCGGGATTTTAAAATCGAACGAGCGCGCAGTGCGAATCCGATTTGAAATCACAAGCATGATTTCCGACCAAAATTGCACGACACGAGGTTCAATTACCACTTCATCGCATCCATTTTGAAATCGCCCAACTACAGGACTTGTTCAATGCAATTTTTGGGGGGGAGAAATGAGAGTTTGGAAACAAAAGTTGCAAAATTTGCCAAATGTTACTCTGTGTTTTTCATTTTCCTGCAATTTGATTGGTCACTTTAAACAAGCCTCAAAATCTAATTGGTTGTTTGTTTTAAGTGTAACTTCCTCATTGGCTGGGAAAAACATGCGATTTAGAGCAAAAAATGGTGTGATTCGTGAATAAATCACACCAATTAGAGCCAATCAGATTACAGGGACCACCAGTGATTTCAAAATGGATGTAATAAACATTACTATTACACACTACTGAAAATCGCGTCTTCTCGAAGAAGTTAGTTCAATTTCAATTCCTTTGAATCCATAGCGATCGAAGGATTGTGACCCGAAAGGGTACTACGTTTGAGTGATGTAACTGATAATTAAGAGGTCTACCTTTTATTCCGTTTTTTATTATTTTATCTATTTATTTATCCATTCAATTCCCCGTGATAAAATTTAAAATTCAGCTGTGACTACTACTTTTACAAAAGCAAATAGTATTTGGTATTTTATAGGGAGTCTATCTGCTCAAGAAGTAGGATAAGATGATTCCACCATTTGATATTAATAAAAGCATCGTATTGTAGAATTCAAAGACAAGACAATAAAATGCGTATTATAATCAAAGTCAAACAAAGCATTGTTTGAAGACGTTATATTATCAGTCTTGACATCATGCATTATATGAATTGCCGCCACATTCCAACTAAATAGTTTGGGCTCTCTGTACTGTCATCTCATCCAGGTCATTAAGTTCTTGTTTTGTCTGCTAAGTCAGTCTCAACAAATAATGTTGCAGGGAAAATTTTCTTTAGCCAGAGTTCAGGCATACATCTGTATACACATTCTTGTGAGCTAACCTCTCTTGTTGATAGAAATGCAGCACCCATTTTTCTCAAGCCAATTCTTTAATGTTCATGTTCTCAGTTTTGGCTTGTTTGGCTGCATTCATTATTGCTTGTGAACATTCAGTTTTATATTCTTTGTGAAATAAGAACAAATATAAGTTACGCATTATGTTGTAACGATCAAACACTGGCTGCAAGTCTTTTAATCATTGATGAATATGGATGAGAGTAGTGTTACCAACCATTGAGATCTCATCTGTTATACACCACATTCATAAATGGCTGCTGGATTAATATTCTTGTGTTTAATTTAAATTAGCCCTTCTGGCCTCGCTTGAGATAATGTATTCTTTTGAATTTTGTACTGGAGAACGAGGCCAGAAGAGCTAATTTCAATTTAAACAAAAGACTGTTTATTCGGTAGCCATTTATGAAAGTAGTCTATTATTAGCTTCAGCTCAGACAGCAATAATCTCATTTGTGTTCTTTTCTGGTCAGACATTGCAGGTAGAACATCACCTGTATTTTAAGGTATTGCTAATAATGCTGTGTATATAGTTGTACCATCAATGTTTATTGCTGCTACTCCAGTAGGTGCCGTTAGTAAAACTGTTGGTTTCTCAGGATTTATTGGAGCATTAGTATTTATTACATTTTTGCAACAGTGTGCTATATAATTGTTTTAATCAAATGACCTTTTCCAGAACCACCACCTCCAGTTATAAACAGGTAAATTGGTTCAACATTTTGTGAAATCAGACTGTTGAGGTTTTTCATTTTATTTCTAGTCCACGAAAGCACCCTGTCATAAGCTTTGCATTGCATGTTATTTAGTGATCTAACTGATTGATGTAATTGGTCATTAGATATTTCTGTTGGCTGATTATACAGTGTAATTGCTGATGGTCCACAATTTTCAGTAGTTCAAGAATTTGCAGCAAGCTGTGTGGGTACTTGTTCATTAAATACCTCATCTGCTGATGATACATCTTAGAATTCTAGTTATTTCCATAACATTATTTAAATATGTTAGAAAATTTTACTAACCATGTCGGGTTAGTTGGACACATTTTTAGTAACCAAAAGTTGAAAATTACTAACCAATGGTTAACAGGTTACTGTTAATTTTTAGCCCAGCCAAGGAGGTTAGATTCATCCCTCCATGGGTAATATAGCATAAGTAGATACATACATACATACATTAGTTGACCACTCCCACATCCATGAGGCTTTTCAGGGCCAATCTTACAGCCACCCATCCCATCCCATCGCAGGGGAGGACATCCACCACACAGTCATCTCGTGCTTGGGAAGTTAAAAAAACAGTTCAGGTTGTTTTCTTTTATTTGGTCTATGATATCTGATAACAGCTTTGACTTTTGTACATTTCATAGTTTCATTAGTATTCATCAATGATATCTTTTTAGGCAAATATCGTGAATCACTACCACTGCTATTTCTATGTTGTATTTAAAAAATGTCATCTGTAAGCACTTTTGGTTGAGCATCAATAGTTTCACTGTTTTCTTTTCGATCTATATAGTCCTTGTAATAATAAGCTGCAAACTGTGTGAGACAAAGGTTATCTACAGCAGGAATAGAGGCTGGTCTAATACAGTAGAATTCAATGATGTTAGATTTGAATATACACTATCTGTACTGTCATCTCATCCA